TTTCAATATCAAAATAGAGAAAATTGTTGGATTTAGGTGGGGGCACAAAGACTAGAGGTTTTCTAGGACCTTTAATTTTCATGCAGTTAGTACCCTTATCATTTGGAGTTATGAAACCTGGAATCAATTGCAGTATACTAATTGTTGCTGTTGAACATTAAATGCCAAATCTTTTGGGCTACCAAGCAAATTTTGTAAGTGGTAGACCTTACCCTTCATTTATTGTGCTGTCTTTATGTACTACTTAACTTCTGATTATCTCACTTTGCTCATGCAAAGTGAATGTCTTTATTTATACAGGGATTGTTAAATTAAGAGACTAAAGCATTGTTAGTGAGATTATACAAACTTACATTTTTTTTAACCATATACTTGCCAAAGAATTAATATACATGTACTCACTGTGTATACATGTATATTAGTAGTATACAAGCTAATAGTCTGTAATTTGCAATTCATTGTAACAGAATTAAAGCTTAAACCGTATCAAAGACAAAAAGAAAAGCATTGGAATCTAATTATAAATTTAAGGAACTTGAAGTTTGAAAGGTGTAGAAAAATTTCAGAAAGTAGCACATTAATTACTGAAGGAAAATCCAAAATATTCTGATGTCTTATAAATCTAAAATTAGAATAAGGTTTAGGCAATAGATTTAACTGTTATCACTCGTTATTGCCATAGACGTGTTCATTCAAAATGTATCAAGCACCTACTCTGTGGCAAAAGTGACTCATCCCACATGAAATTTCCGGGGGAAAAGCTATAGGAAGCCACTTTATTTAAATTCTAAGTCACAAGCACTATGAAAGAATATGTATAAGACATATAGCCTCAGTCTTACATATAATTACTACAAAATGATATTAGGGACTGCTCATGTTTGACAAATGATTTCAACATAGTAGTGATGAAATGGAGTATTGTTAGCATAATAGAACCTATCTATATTTGTGATACTTAATACACTTTGACCCAATTGCTGAAAATACTTTAAAATGTTTCCACTTGGGAAGACTTTGGAGTCTGCATTATTTATAAGGATGTGCTTAGAGAATTTGTGCATCTGTCATAACACTAACATTCAGATTGGCAGCAAGGGAAGAGATGGAGCTTGATGGAAAGAATGTAGACTTTGTAGTTAGGCACAGTGTGTCAAAACTCTTTGCTTTCATAGATAGACTTGTTCCTTAACCTCTGTGAGACTGCTTTCTTTTTTTGCCCCTAAAACCAGAATATATTATTACAAAGCATTATAAAGAAAAATATGTGTACTTCACGTGCATAGCACCTAAGGGACTCAAGTAAAATTAAATTCCTATCCCATTTTCTTTTCTTTGTTCTCCTTCATTAAAGAAAACCACTGAATTTCTTGGAATTAGAAAAATAACAACAGTTATATCCTCTGTTAGTGGTAATCTTTCTCTTAAATCAAGATGTCAACTGAGGGTGATATTCATTGGGATGTAGATATGAGCTCCAATTCAGTTACTCAAATCTTTTTGGAATCCTAGAGATTATACCAAGAGTGATGGACAGGCTCCACCTATGTCCTTAGGAAGTGCCCAGAATATTTGGGTCTTAAGATAACTCAGTCAGTTCTATCTTCCCATTTCTGTTCCACTGGAATCCATTGGGCATTGTGGATAGCAACACTTACCCCTTCACCCAGCATCAGTCCTTTGGTTTCTCCAACATGACTCACAAGCTTGTGAGCTTTAGTATAGAGCTGAATGTCCTTGCAAAGACAATTCCCATATAGCGTCTGGCCAGTTTGTGCATCACTATTTCTTTCTTGATACTTTTCTTTACATGTTAAACTTCTTATCATTGGCCTGACATCCCTCTCTCTTAAGACTCCCAGTTTTGTTTTTGAGATCTTTCGTTGTACTTTCTAATCCCTTCCTTGAGTACTTAAATGGTTCTATCTCTTCCAGGCTCCTGTTCACCCCCCTTTTTCTTCAGAGAAACTGCCATTGAGCCCCTGCCTTGGAATCAGCTTTAACTCCTACCGAGAACTGGCACACGTCTTACTATTTCAGACTTTTCTTTATCCATTCCTCACAGAACATAAATGGGAATGGATGAGATGTTTTTTTCTGATATAAACTACTCCACTCTCTAGAGAGGGCAAAATCGCTTCATCAATTTTGTCTTTAGTAACTATTTTATCTCCTAGGTATAATTCCTTAAAACCAATTTTCTTCATATTAGGTTTTTCTCTTTTAGAAATAATATGGAATTCTTATTAGGTTATGTTTTCTTATCTGAAAATTGAGATATTGACTTAGTTTTCATAATTATTTGTTTAAAATAATACAATTCTTTGAATATATTTGCATTTTTTATTTACTAGTTTTAAGCATGGCTATTTATTACCAGTTTGTAAAAATCTGTCAGTTTTATTTTTATTTTGAAGTGAATCAATAAATGAAAACTGCAACAAGCTTTTATTTTATTCTTGCCCTCTAGAATCATAGATTCTTTGTTGAGGTCTAAATATATCATTGGGAGATGTTTTTAGAAAGCTTAGAAGAGTTGCTATGAGGAAGAGATGAGCTTGTTTATGCAAAATGTACTTTTTAAAATTGTAAGACACTATCAAATATTAACTACTTGGTGAGAAGAAAAGAAATGGAAGCTCAGAAAACAGAACTTGGATTGAGAGCATGATTTGTATCTTTTAGCAATGCAAGAACATGATTTAAATCACTACAAAACTCTCCATAGGTCTTGTACTTTCTTTGCTCTCTCAAATATTGGCTGTGCACTAATTCAAGAGCAGGTATTAGATAATTTAATTGATATATGTTGCATGGCATTAAGCTACCTACTTAAGTAAATATATTTTAGTACTAAATTTTATAGTATATATTTGAGGTTTATAACATGATTGGATACATACAGTTTGTAAAATGATTCCTGCAGTGAAGTAGATTAACATATCTCTCACCTCAATTACTTTTTTGTAGCAAGAGCTGCTAAAATCTATTTATTTATAAAAATCTTTAATATAGTACAGTTTTATCAACTTTAGTCCTCATGTTGTACATTACATCTCTGGACTTGTTCATCCTTTTTAATTGGTGTGGAGATAGATACACCTATGGGAAAACCACAGCTCCCCTGATTTCTTTTCGCTTTTTAAGAGTGAGGCCTATCAGGATATTTAGATCTAGGCACTACAGGGTTACCACATTGTTTTCTATTCCATATAAATCTTCATTAGGCTTACAGACATTGAATTCTATACTGTCTTAAACTAAAATAACTGAAGTGTGCTTTTTTTTACAAAGTTTATGTGGGAAGTAATACAATAATAAAATTTTGTACCTCACATACAATGTTGCCCAACGTGCTGACTGAGGCTGATGTCTTATTTCACATTTGCAAATGATAGTGGTGAGTTTTCTTTCATCTCATGTTTCTATAGGGCTGTTACCCATTCACTGTTTCACTCCTTGAACAGCCTAGCATAGTAAAAAGCCTTAACCAGTTGCATTGAGTCATCATCATTCTTGTGCTCAACCCTGCTTTCTTTCCTTTTTGTGTCAACTGCAAAAACTCAGTCCTTTTCTTAACTAATCTTCCTCCAGGATTCTAGAATTTACTCTTCTTACACAGTGAAACACATAGTTTCATTGATCTCACATTCCTTTTCTACTATGTATATACTAGCTTCCTCTTAAATGAATTTTCTCTTACTTAGAAATGTGTTTTAAAAACAAAATTAGAGAAGGCTTTATTTTTGTTGCTTGGCCATTCTTCATCTCTCAAAGAGAACTTTTTCTTCCTTCAACTGAACTCTTCTCTTTTTCACAACCTCCAGCCCAATTTTGCCCTGGTTCAATTAGGAAGCAGATTGTAATACTGAATAAATTTATTGAGAGGATATCTGTAGTGGACATAAGGGAAAGGTGGGGGAGAAGAGAAAGAGAGAGAGAGAGAGAGGCAAGAGAGTAGGTTGGATGAGCCTTCAGAATTATGTTTTAGGTAAAAGCTTCTAACTTCTGAAGAAAAAGAAGAAGAAAGAACATTGCATAGAAAAACTCAGACTGCCAGGGTTTTTAAGAAAATGTCACCTACACCAGAGTACAGATCTAGGACATTGACGAGTCTCAAGTCAGGCAGGACTGGCCCAGCTTGACACATTTAGTCACACTGCCTCAGGAGCATGACTTGGAGTGAACAGTGTTGCGGATGATCCTGCCATGAAGTAGCTGGATGCCATCAGCCAACCGCATTGCTGGCATCTGGTTCTCTCCAAGGGAGATCTGAGCACAACTCCATTTCTTGCCACGGTTTCCAATCACCCTGCTGAAGTTACTGTCCCAGAGCCTAAAATGACTATCCATACCTCTTCTCCAAAGCTGCAGCTTTTGATGAGCTCTTCCTTTTAAGTTAGAAGAAAAAAATGTTTGTTCCAAGGCAGTTCTACCTCAAATTCACAAATAATTTCAATCAGGTATCTATTTCACTTGCACCATGTGGTTAAGGGCATAAGCTACTTGTACCAGCAAAGTCAAAAACTCTTCATGTTCAAAACTTCAGTAATTTTCATTCAGTTTTATTTTTTCAACATGCAAAAGATATTCTATAACTCAGAAGCCTTGATAATAATAATTAACTTAGTGCTATTTTTTAAATACTTAATATGTGGCTAACATTGCTCTGCATAGTTTATATGTATGAATTTTTTTCACCTGTAATATAACCCTGAAAGGTAAATTTTATTAGTAAATTGTATTAGTATTGACACTTACCAGAAGAGTAAAGGCAACAGACATTGAAAAATTTCCAAGGCTACATTGCTACAAAGTAGTGAAATCTGGATTCAAATCCAGGGCATTGGTTCTCGGAGTTCTCATGACCAGTCTTTTCTTATACTAACACTATACAGAATAGGTTTTTTTCTATAAAATTGCTAATTTTAAAATGGTGAGCTACTATCTACTTTTAAGTGTATGCATCATTCAGTAATTTTTTTTTCCTGATATTTTAGGTCCCTGCATTCCAAACCCATGCCATAATGGAGGAACCTGTGAGATAAGTGAAGCATACCGAGGAGATACATTCATAGGCTATGTTTGTAAATGTCCCAAAGGATTTAATGGGATTCACTGTCAGCACAGTAAGTTATTACTATTCAATGTACTTTTATTATTATTGTTCCCAGCTCTACAAGTCATTGTCATTCTTATTTCTAGTACAGTCATAAAATCTTAGAAGAGCAAAGAACACTGGCATTTGGGCTCAAACACTTCTCTCCCACTGAATGTCCCATGTCCTTAGCTGAGGACTGGGTTTCAGTCCTCCCAGTGGTGTTGGCGTGCTAGTCATTTCCCAGCCAGCTAGGAAACTTCCCACCCAATGAATGTTGGAACTAGCTAGTCATTTCCCACCCAATGAAATGAAGAACATTTCATTGTTCTTCAGACAGACTTGAAGAATGTTGTCCTTTATGTTAAAATGACATTTGTGTCTCTCTTTCATATTTGTTCTGAAGTTGCATTCTCTAGTGTCCCAGAGATTATTCTGGTCATTAGGTCATTAAGAAATGACCCAGAAAAGTAAACAACACTGTTTACAAGGATAGATTAAGCAAGCTTTTCTCCGTCTTACTTGTTATTTTAGCATAAAAATCTTTAAAAGTTCAACAAGCATGTCATCTTCACTTCTCTTTTTTGTCCTCATTCTTATTTATTTTGGAAAGGTTAATAGGGCCACTTGTGATAATTTCTTCTCTGAAGGGTTGAACATAAATTCTAGATGAGTAGCATGGGACCCTAACTGCTGTGGGATCCCAGCAGGTAGGGAGGCCACAGTGAATCCTGTGCTGCCAGGGGAGGTTATTACAGAGGTGGGCACATGCAGGCTGAGTGTTGAACAAAGGATGAGATGATGATCAGAGGAATGGGAACAGCACGTGGTGGGAAGAGTGGGGAGAGACTATATGAGCCATGAATACCAAAGTAGTACTTTAGACAATGGTATTAGGAATGAGTAAGGCAAACCTGGCTATATCAGCCAGCCCCACATATCCAATCTCCAGACTCAAACATGAGACTGTGACCTGTCTCTGTGACCCTGGGAGCAAACAGCATGTTTTTGGAGACTTTCCATGACTAAGATTTTGTAGAATTCTGAAGAAGCATGGACAATTGTCCTCCTCACAACTGACTCCTAATCTACTTGGAATTATCTCCAATGCTCAGATTTTCAACAAACAAATGAAAGACTACTGATTTTTCTCTGACCTGGTCCAGAGGTGCCAGGCATGATCTTCCTTCAAGGCAGCATCGCTGCTTTCTTCACACATGAACATCTCAAAACAGCTCTAAAAAGATGGAAATGGAAGCTCAGTTTTGGTGTGCTTGCTATTCAGTTTACCCCCACAATAAGAAAATATTACCAACCTCTACTTACAGAGCCTTGAGATATGGTGTAAGAGTCTCTGTCCAGAGGGAGACAGTCTGGCCACCCTTCACCTCAGTTTTGAGTTGCTTATATATATCACATATGTTTGTGCACACACACACACGCACACAGGGTCCTCTGAAAGAAGAACCAAATTTTCATGATGGACTGTTTTCTAGTTGTCCAGTGTCAGAGTGTCTATATTCCTCATGTCTCTAGTTCACAGCTTCAGGTAGGAGAAACTGAGAATATAGACAGGTAGATTCTGATTGTTAGAAGAAATCTCAGCTTAGAAACTTTTTGGAAAGCATGTGTAGACCCCTAATTCACTTAAATATTTCACTTAAATTAACTCTCCCACCCTGGCCAGCTGTTGAAGTCAGTTTAAAGTTGAGGCCTGCCCTTAAACCACAGATTGAGAAACATCAAGTATAAATTGAAATGAATATATCTATATAATAATACAATTTTTTCATGTATCTACCCTTTGTTTTCTATATATTGTAAATCAGCAGCTTAGTTTCAGTTGTCTTTAGTGATGTACAAGTCACACCTAAGACATTAAGGCATCATTTATTTTTTCCAGTATAAGTGATCTTTGCCTGGAAAGTTGTTAGTGTAGAAGTTTTCACCTGCCTCTCACTCTCACACATTTGGCCATGAGTTTTTTCAAGAAGGCTATTTAGGATTAGTGAAGTAAAACAGATCATTTTTGTCTCCATTCCCCATGATGGAACATACAAGTGTTTTCTCACATATCCTTAACTCATAATAAAATAAACTCAGACATTCACAGTTTTGTGACTTTAAGATCTTATTTTGAAGAACAAAGGAAGCCTTCTTTTTATCGCACCTAAACCTCCATAATCCTTAAACCCATTTTAGGAATTGCAACAGGAAGTCTGAGGCTGATTGATTCAATTATGAACAGGATTATTATAGTCTAAACCACCTGATCCCTATTCTGTGGAGTGCATCATTGCTAATAGCAAGAGAGAATGGAGGGAAATGAATGGCATTTGGAATCAGAAATCTGGATTTAAAATATGACCTTTACAGTTATTAGATAAGTGACCTTGAGCTAGTCACTTGACCTTCCTGCAATTGAAGACATCTAAATTAAGCTCTTAAACTAGAAATAGGTGACCTTTGATTCACATGAGCCTGATGAGTTTTGTGACAAAAAGGATAGCTTGCTCACCATACAAAGGTTATCAAGCTTTCCTCTTCATAAATGAAATTGAAAAGGATTATAGATTGGCAAAGCAAGTTTAGAAAGTGCTGGTATCACTGGGATCTTCTTCAGGTAAGAAAACCAGAAAAACAGTTTGTTAATCCCTTGCAAGGACTGCGGATATTTGGGGTTATTTTTCACACTTGTAGCAGTTGCATGACTCAGATATTCTCTAGAATCTTGCTACTCTAGGTGTGGTCTTGTAACAACATCATCTGAAAGCTTTTTATGCAGATTATTAGGCATCACTTCAAATCAACTAAGTGAGAATCTGTATTTCAAACTGATATCCAATGTCCTCCTACACACATCAAAGCTTGAGGAACACTGCACAAGATTTTCAATAGCCAAATGTGATCATTTCACAAACAACATATCAACTTCCATATTCTGTTATATTACATTGGTGGTAGGCAAAAAAGGTTTATTAAGATTAATGAAAATCAAAATATTTTGAAATTTAATAAAAATGATAAATGTGCTAACAAAATGGAAATATTTCATTTGGAAAAAATAGGAAATCCTGTGACAGCTTTTTGTGTGGTGCTTACTAATTTAGTTTTACATGACAGAATTCTAGTGAAATAGATTTGTGAATATAGACTTTTAAAGAAATTAACCTTCATGATACAAGAGTGACAAACATAGAGTCAATATGATTAATTTGAAAACTAACACCACAAAATGTTACAAATTAGAAAAAAAATTGATTCCAGTGCCAGCATTAGTATTATCTATGCATGGTTTTCAGATTTTTAAACATGTATAGACTTTAATTTCAGAGTTTTAGGTTTACAGAATACTTGAGCAGAGAGTATAGAGAGTTCCCATCTGCCACTCCTGAGTTTCCCCCTAATTTTTTTAAACTAGGATATATTCATTATACAGGGGGGTGGTTATAGTGACAATTCCGATTAGACTTATATTATATATTATTCACATTGCCCCCATTGTCTCTCTCCCTTAACCCCCTCCCTGCCCCATTTAAACAAATTGCAAGAGGTTTCTTTGTTCTGTTTTGTGTAGGTATATGAAGTCCATCAACCATATGCCCTCACCTAAATCTCCTTCATTCATCCTCCCCCCCACTAGTACCCCCATACTCACACTATACCTATATTACAGTCCTGTCTTTTGTTATTAATATTTAAGTCAGTGTTCAAAGGGGATTCTCAATGTATGTCCACTGTGGGTATACTTTACTTTGGTCCATTTAACCCCTTCCATACTCCATTTTTCAACAGTTTTCAGTACACATCCTTATATCTTCTACATTCACAGATCTTGTGTTTTATGATATTACTGATGCTTTATCATTTTCTCTTCCTTTTCCTCTTCCTGAGTTCCATAGAGTAGTTACACTATTACAAGTGTGTTCTACATATGAGTTTTTATATGGTCATGCTTGTTTTGCGTATATGTTTATCTTTTGGATCTATCTTCCACATATGAGAGAAAACATGCTAACTTTGTCTTTCTGAGTCTTACTTACTTCACTTAACATGATGTCCTCCAATTGCATCCATTTACCTTCAAACCAGATGTCATTCCTTATAGTTGAGTAAAACTCCATGGTGTATGTATACCACATTTTCTTGATTCATTCATCAGATGTGGACACCTGGGTTGTTTCTAAAGCTCAGCTATTGTGAATTGTGATATTCTGCTCAGAAATAGAAAAATCAATCTTGATGTACACATGGAAACTTAAAAGATCTTGAGTACCCAGAGTATTTCTGAGCAAAAAGTCCAATGCTGGAGGCATCACAATACCCAACTTCAAACTACACTACAGAGCCATAATGATAAAAACAGCATGATATTGGCACAAAAACAGATGTGAAGACCAATGGATCAGAGCAGAAAACCCAGACATAAACTACGTACCTATAGCCAACTGATCTTCAACAAGGGAGCCCAAAACACATGATGGAGAAAGGACAGCTTCTTTAAAAAATGTTGCTCAGAAAACTGGATATCTACATTTAGAAGACTGAAACTAGATCCCTGTCTTTCACTCTGTACCAAAATCAATTCAAAGTGGATCAAAGACCTTAATATATAGCCTGAAACGTTGAAAAAATCCAGGAAGTAGTAGGAAATACACTGGAACATATTGGTATAGGGAACAACATCCCAAACAGAACTCAAAAGGCTCAGCACCTATGAAATAGAATAAACAAATGTGACCACATCAAGCTAAAGCACTTCTGCAAAAGAAAGTATCAGTAGACTCAAGAGACACCCCACAGAATGGGAGAAAATCTTTGCCAGCTAATCATCCAATATGGGACTCATATTCAGAATGTACAAGGAACTCAAAAAACTCAGCCCACAAAGAATCAACACCCCAGTGAAGAAATGGCACATGAATTAAACAAGGAATTCTCAAAGGAAAAGGTAAAAATAGACAGTTAAATATATGAAGAAGTGTTCAACTTCCCTGGTTATAAGAGATACAAATCAAAACCACACTTAGA